GGATGAGGTGATATGTTACAACACTTTTGGATGAGGTGAACAAAACTTTCAATACAAGATAGAGCAAACTTTCAACACAAGACAGAACACGGTTCAATGGGTATAACTTGGGTAAATTAAAGGGAAGAATGGAAGCAACTGCAAAGGGCCTATTGGTCCATATTTCTTGATGCTTCTATATTGGTGCGGAGTCTTGAAGTGGGTAGTATATATATATATATATATATATATATATATATATATATATATATATATATATATATATATATATATATATATATATATATATATATATATATATATATTGGTGTATACTGGCAGCAGGTTTTCTTTCAAACATGTTTCATTGAATATGACCGCATATTCTGTATTTATTATTTTCTGGTTTAGGGCTTCTATCCCTCTAACTATTTTCTTAGCATCAGGGCTTAATTGGAATAGGAGTTCTCCAAAACTCATTTTCGTACTTTTAAGGTGAAGAAAAGAAGTGATTTACTATAGAGTGTATTACACTTATTTGTATAATTTGCACGACGTTTCGAACCTCCATGGTTCATTCTCAAGTGAACAATCTTACAATACTAGTTGATTTTATACCCGCATTAGGTCAGGTGATAATACAATGAAGGTGAAAAACATGGGGGGATACATAAGGGATAAACATAGGGGCTGCAGAAGGCTTATTGGCCCATACGAGGCATCTCCTATCCAAACACAAAGATTAATCCAGTGTAATTGGCCTGTTATGTTGGACATTGTCTTCTGTGTTGGCATCGATATGTTCTTGTCTTGTCCTTACTCTCATGGTGGGTAGAGTAAATAGTTCCGTGATTTGGGTGTTCATGGTTCAAATGTTCAACATTTCTCTTGTTAGAGAAACTAACAAGAGTTTCTTGTTAGAACAAGTCTTCTCTTGTTCTAACAAGAGAAATGTTGAACAAGAATACTTGCATAATAGACAAAACCCAAGATTCAAGAAGATTACAAATTCTTGAGGCAATTCACATAAGAATAGAGCGACCTACCATGAACACCCAAATCACGGAACTATTTACTCTACCCACCATGAGAGTAAGGACAAGACAAGAACATATCGATGCCAACACAGAAGACAATGTCCAACATAACAGGCCAATTACACTGGATTAATCTTTGTGTTTGGATAGGAGATGCCTCGTATGGGCCAATAAGCCTTCTGCAGCCCCTATGTTTATCCCTTATGTATCCCCCCATGTTTTTCACCTTCATTGTATTATCACCTGACCTAATGCGGGTATAAAATCAACTAGTATTGTAAGATTGTTCACTTGAGAATGAACCATGGAGGTTCGAAACGTCGTGCAAATTATACAAATAAGTGTAATACACTCTATAGTAAATCACTTCTTTTCTTCACCTTAAAAGTACGAAAATGAGTTTTGGAGAACTCCTATTCCAATTAAGCCCTGATGCTAAGAAAATAGTTAGAGGGATAGAAGCCCTAAACCAGAAAATAATAAATACAGAATATGCGGTCATATTCAATGAAATATATATATATTATATATATATATATATATATATATATATATATATATATATCCCAAGATTACAATCCGAGTGCCGGCGGGGGAGGGGGGGTGTGGTTCAAATAGCTTCGGCTATCACCTCCTTATGTCCGGTCAATGGTCGAGTGGATGAAGGTGTCCTGTACATACCAGTTGCGTTGCTCCTGGCAGTATGGGTTCGAGTCACTTCTGGAGTGTGAGTTTTCAATTGCATATAGTCCTGGGGACCGTGACTACGTGTACACCGTACAATGCTCGTCTCCCCGAAAGATGTTCGGGGAGAATTTGTAGCCATGGGTGGACCAGGGATTTGCATGTTTTCGTGACCGTGGTATATAGTCCTGGGGACCGTGACCACCGTACACAGTACGGTGGTCACGGTACTGTGCACATTTGGGGGTGATCCTGGACGGCATTGGTTCGGTTTCGATCCTGGCCAGGTCAAAGAGTTCTTAATGATATATGGCTTGCGCGTTCATGCAGCTTTCTCTCTCTCACACACACACACCACACACACACACACACATATATATAATATATATATATATATATATATATATATACATATCATAGGCTATTTAGTACTCCAGAAACATGCAATATACTAAACCTTTTCTGCCATGCCTTATTATATCTACTTTATAATAGAACTCCAGTGGTTCGTCAGGAATGATTTTCCTTCCCTAAAGCCATGCTGAAATATGTTTACATTCTTGATTCTCTCCGGGTATGTAAATATTCTATCCTTAATATTTTTTTTGAGTATTTTGCATGGGATGCGAGCCAATGACACTGGTTTGTATTTACATGTATCTTCTCTGTTTCATTTATAGTAAATTTTTACTACATTTGCATTTTCCCAGCAACTGAGCCACTCAACCTTTGAGTGACTCATTAAAGGTCAGTGCTAGAGGTATTCTAAGGGCCTGTGCCCTTGCTGCTTCTTTTATCATCCCATGATGATACACTGTCGTGTCCTAGAGCTTTAGTTTCGTCAAGTGATGCTAGCTGTTTCTTTTCTTCCTCTGTTGTTGCCTCTATATTTAATAGTTTCTCATCTAGGATAACCTCTTCTTCTGGCACTGGGGTCTGTTCAGTTTCAGTAGTGAACACTCCATGGAAGCTGGGATTATGTTCCTCATAAAGTTCCTCATCATTTCATGTATATTCCCCTCACCTTTTTCGTAGCCTAGTCACTTGGTCGTTCACTGTCATATTCCTTATATGATTATGTTGGAGTCTTGGTTATGTCTTTGCTTTAGACGCAAAATAATTTTCATAGTTACTTTTCTGGCGTTCTTTATCAGAAAGAAAATATTCTGACGAAGTATATTCACAAATATTCTTAGAGTATATTTATGTATTAGTTCCTAGCCCTGTAGCATCTATTCCGGTTTTCCTCTATCTTGTGAATTCTGTATTTCTTCCACTCCCTCCTGCTTTTCGTTTTTGCTTCTTGGCACAGTCTGATCTTGTAAACTGACGCATAACTTGTATACATGTTAGAAATTTATAATGGCAAAGAAAACACTGATTCTCTCATTAATTTTATTTTTAACAGAAGATAAAGCAGATTCTTTCTTTTTCCGGTTCTCTCCAGAGGGTGAGGTATGTGTTCTATGATGTGAGCGAGCTATGAGTTCTCTCGTGAAGGCGAGCTATATGTTTTATGATGAGGGCGAGCAATGATTTCTATCATGAGGACGAACTATGTGTTCTGTGATGAGGGCAAATTTTGAGTTCTATTATGAGAGCGTGCTGTGAGTTGTATCATGAGACTTAGTTGTGAGTTCTATCGCGAGTACGAACTAAGTATTCTCTCATGAGGGCGAAGTATGTGTTCTATCGCGAAAGTGAACTAAATGTTCTATCATGAGGGGCAAGGAATGTACTCATCTAGTTGTGCTTGTGGGGATTGAGCTTTGGCTTTCTGGTCCCGCCTCTCAACTGCAAGTCAACAGGTGTACAGGTTCCGGAGCCTATTGGGCTCTGTCATATCTACTCTTGAAACTGTGTATGGAGTCTGCCTCCACCATCTGGGGGAGCCGGTCGGCCGAGCGGACAGCACGCTGGACTTGTGATCCTGTGGTCCTGGGTTCGATCCCAGGCGCCGGCGAGAAACAATGGACAGAGTTTCTTTCACCCTATGCCCCTGTTACCTAGCAGTAAAAAAGGTACCTGGGTGTTAGTCAGCTGTCACGGGCTGCTTCCTGGGGGTGGAGGCCTGGTCGAGGACCGGGCCGCGGGGACACTAAAAAGCCCCGAAATCATCTCAAGATAACCACATCCCTTCCTAATGCATTTCGTTTGTTAACTACTCTGAGACTGAAAGAACTATTTCTAATGTCTTTGTGGTCCATTTGCGAACTAAGTTTTCACCGCTGTCTCCTTGTTTCGTTTCCACCAATGCTAAATAGTTTGTCATTGCCCACTCAGTCAATTCCTCTGAGAATTTTGTAGGTGGTGATCATGTCTCCCATTACTTTTCTGTCTTCCAGCGACGTGAAGTTTAGCTCCTGTAGTCTTTCCTCGTAACCTAAACTTCTCAGTTCTGTAACTAATCTGGTGGCATACTTCTCTAACTTTGTCTTGTGTTTAGCTAGGTATGAACTCCAGGCTGGGGCTCCATGCTCCAGGACTGGTTTAACATAAGTGTTATACAAGGATCTGAATGATTCCTTACTCAAGTTACTAAAATTATTACACAAATCTAATGTTGGATTATCTAGCTTTCAGTGGTAATGTGTTCTCTCATGAGGAGGAAGTTTGTGATCTATCATGATGGTGAAGAATGAGTTAATTCATGAGAACAAACTATGTGTTTTATCGTGAGGGTGAGGAATGGATTCTCTCATGAGGGTGAGGAATGTGTTCTCTCATGAAGGCGAGGTATGTGTTCAATCACGAGGGGGAAGTATGTGTGTCTTCATGAGGGCGAGGAATTTGTTCTCTCATGAGGGCGAGGAATTTGTTCTCTCATGAGGGCGAGGAATTTGTTCTCTCATGAGGGCGAAGCATGTGTTCTGTCATTAGGGCGACCTATGTGTTCTTCATTGGGACAAACGCTCAGACATTTAACATAATTGTTCTTAAACAATATTATTAGTTTTCATACATTTGCCTCCATGGTTGGCTGTGAGTCTTTGTTTACCAGGTTCATATATATACTTAATACTTACAGAATATGTTATTCCTTTTCACTTGCGTTTGGAAACCTTACTCCAAATTCCCCCTTACAGCATTCTATAAAAACTATCATCATCATCATAATAATCATCATCATCATCATCATCACACAGAGTAGCTTTCAGATACGGGATTAGAGTGAGCCTGAAGGGTGTGTGTGTCCCAAACAAATGTTCTGAGAGGTTGCGCAGGTCCGGTCGAGGTCACCTGGGTGCCGTCTCCCCAGCAGGTCTGGAACCTCCCACCACCGTATGGACGTCTTCTCACTGTCCCTTCCATCTGCCACCGTCGGATCCACCGGTATACTGTGGTGAGGCTCACTCCCACCTCCAGGGATATTTCTCGCGCTGTTTGGCCACAAACCCACATCCACACAATTTGGGAACGGTAAACCGCTGCCAAGTTTTGCTTTCCTGTTCGCTTCTCCATGAAGGTGGGTCTGTTAAGCAAATTCATCATTCGACTGGCATCTTTGCAATAGAGTGAATCATATTATGATACTAACTGCAGATGTAAGTTAAATTATCATATCAGTTGTGGTAGTGGTGTTAATGATTTCAGTGGTAGTGGCAGTGGTAATGATATCAATGGGAGTTGTGGTAATGATATCAGAGGAAGCTGTGGTAATATCAGTGATAGTAGCAGTGATAATAATACCAGTGGTGACTGTGGTAATGATATCAATGGTAGTTGCAGTAATGATATCAATGGTAGTTGCAGTAATGATATCAGTGGAAGCTGTGGTAATGATTTAAGTGGTAGTGGCGGTGATAATGATATCAGTGGTAGCTGTGTTAATGATATCAGTGGAAGTGGCAGTGGTAATGATGCCAGTGGTGACTTTGGTAATGATATCAGTGGTAGTTGTGGTAATAATATCAGTAGTAGTTGTGGGTAACGCTATCAATGGTAGTAGCATTGGTTATGATATCGGTAGAAGTAGCATTGGAGCATTGGTAATGATTCCAGTGGCGAAGGTTGTAATGATATCAGTGGTAGCTGTGGTACCGATATCAGTGGAAGAAGTGGTAATGACATCAGTGGTAACTGTGTTAATTATATGGTTATGATATCAATGGTAGTAGCAGTGGTAATGATATCTATGTTAGCTGAGATAATGATGTGGTAACTGTAGATATGATATCAGTAGTTCTTGTATTAATGACATAATTACCACTGCTACTACCACTGACATCATAACTACAACAACCAATGATATCATTACCACTGCTACTACGACTGATATCAGTAGTGGTAGTAATGGTAAGAATGTCAGTGGTAGTAGCATTGATAATGATACCAGTGGCGACTGTGGTAATGATATCAGTAGAAGAAGTGGTAATTGATGGTGGTAAGTTATATCATTACCACTTGATTTAACCACATCTGAGGGCAGCTTCAGGTGTAGTTGGATGTCGCATGGGAATGTCTGATTTCGTGTGCTTAAGCTCCGGAATAATACTTAAGCTTCCCATCTTGGCAAGAATTATTATGTGATGATCTGGTCACAGATGATCATTGATGCACTAAATTGTCTTATTTACAAGGAAGAAATTAGATCCATCCCCGATGGGATATATATAGTGTATTTCACTTTAATATACACTGAATGTGTATATACGGTTGGGTATTGTTGTGTTCTTATTAAACTTTCAGAAGTTGATAGACTCTAATCACAAACGAAAACCAACATCACTCACAGACAAACTCGATAGTTTTACCTAAATAAATGTAGTTTTTTGGTTGAAGGAAGCATTGAAAACATTGCCCACGGCTTTGAATCATAAACACTGCACTCGACAACGAGTATGGAAGGTTGGGTACGTGATCAAACTGTGCAACAAGTTACCAGTGAAGGTACAACAGAACTATATCAGCTCACCCTAGGGACTGATGATGACCGGACTACAGACTGCTCCTCGCTGTGGCGGCGGCCAACTGACCACACCAGCTCCGAGACTCAACTTATATGCTGAGGCGAGAGGCGCAGACGCACAACTTCATTACTCATGTACTCGTGATAATGTAGCAGTGGCTATGATATCAGTGGTAGCAGTGGTAATATCAGTGGTAGCAGTGGTAATGATATCAGTGGTAGCAGTGGTAATGATATCAGTGGTAGCAGTGGTAATGATATCAGTGGTAGCAGTGGTAATGATATCAGTGGTAGCAGTGGTAATGATATCAGTGGTAGCAGTGGTAATGATATCAGTGGTAGCAGTGGTAATGATATCAGTGGTAGCAGTAGCATTGATATCAGTAGTAATGATATGAGTCGTAGCAGTGCTAATGATGTCAGTGAAGGACAATATATATATATATATATATATATATATATATATATATCTATATATATATATATATATATATATATATATGCGAACAAGCCTGAATGGTCCCCAGGACAATATGCAACTGAAAACTCACACCCAGAATGGGTGTGAGTTTTCAGTTATATATATATATATATATATATATATATATATATATATATTATATATATATATATATATATATATATATATATATATATATATATGGCACAACTCTCCTAAACACGCGAGTGAAGTATACAACTTTAGAACACTTTCCCACCAGGAGACTCGAACCCTAGCCAGCACAGAAGCCTTCCAGCAACTGGCATAACAGGTACGCCTTAACCCACTCCACCACCTGCTCAGACCCCTAGAGCACTAGAGCAAGTGAGGGGTCATTTTTACGTTTTTTCATCCAGTTCCTGTTAATATGGGAGAACACTGTGTCTATGCTTGAGGCACAACTCTCCTAAACACGAGAGTGAAGTATACAACTTTAGAACACTTTCCCACCAGGAGACTCGAACCCTAGCCAGCACAGAAGCCTTCCAGCAACTGGCATAACAGGTACGCCTTAACCCACTCCACCACCTGGAGATGTGTCCAAGATATATATATATCGGTCCAACGGTCCAAGTGTCCAAGACACTTGGACCGTTGGTATAATTCAGAACCTAGAACAGAAACCACAACACCCCCAATAAAATTATATTACAAATCAACCATGCACAGTGAACATATAAAAGAGGAAAGAATAATGAAAGAAATAATCCGTAAAGGAGTAAAAAGCACTACTCCTAACGAAAACATAAACCTGATAATATTCTACAAAACCAAGAAGACTTCCGAACTCCTTATCAAAAACAGCCCAAAGCCGACGGAGAACCCTCTACAGCAGTCAAGCGTTGTATACATGTACACTTGCCCCCACGAAGGATGTAACCTTCAATGTAAGTACATACGTATGACGTCGACCAAGCTGACGAGGCGTTTGACATGCCATCTTCAATCTGGTGCCCCTAGGAATCACATGAGACAAGCCCATGACATTACTCTAACAAGAGAAATGTTGAACAAGAATACTTGCATAATAGACAAAACCCAAGATTCAAGAAGATTACAAATTCTTGAGGCAATTCACATAAGAATAGAGCGACCTACCATGAACACCCAAATCACGGAACTATTTACTCTACCCACCATGAGAGTAAGGACAAGACAAGAACATATCGATGCCAACACACAAGACAATGTCCAACATAACAGGCCAATTACACTGGATTAATCTTTGTGTTTAGATAGGAGATGCCTCGTATGGGCCAATAAGCCTTCTGCAGCCCCTATGTTTATCCCTTATGTATCCCCCCATGTTTTTCACCTTCATTGTATTATCACCTGACCTAATGCGGGTATAAAATCAACTAGTATTGTAAGATCTGTTCACTTGAGAATGAACCATGGAGGTTCGAAACGTCGTGCAAATTATACAAATAAGTGTAATACACTCTATAGTAAATCACTTCTTTTCTTCACCTTAAAAGTACGAAAATGAGTTTTGGAGAACTCCTATTCCAATTAAGCCCTGATGCTAAGAAAATAGTTAGAGGGATAGAAGCCCTAAACCAGAAAATAATAAATACAGAATATGCGGTCATATTCAATGAAACATATATATATATATATATATATATATATATATATATATATATATATATATATATATATATATATATATATATATATATATATATATATATATATATATATATATATATATATATATATATATATATATATATATATATATATATATACTGTTTAACAAAAATAGTCTTAAGAAAAAACAAGGAAATCATCGATAGATACAGCGATAGCAGGCGGCTTGATATCTGCGAGGCACTACACATTTAGAAGTCAACACCAACAATCAACAGCCAATTAATGCACAACTATATTCTACCCACTTCAAGACTCCGCACCAATATAGAAGCATCAAGAAATATGGGTCAATAGGCCCTTTGCAGTTACTTCCATTCTTCCTTTTAACTTATCCAATAGTATACCCATTGTTTGGTGCTCTGTCTTGTGTTGAAAGTTTGTTTTCACCTCATTCAAAACTGTTGTAACATATCACCTCACCCAAATGCAGGTATGAAATGAAAGCTATTTAAACTCTGTTTAGTGTTTGCAGGTTATAGTTGTGTGTGTGTAAACTTAAGTCTTTGAAAATGTAATAAGTTATTACAAAACGTGTTCAAGTGTCGCGTCAGACTAGAAATAAAAATGAATTTTGGAGAATTGATTTTTCAATTACCATCGACAGTGAAAAGAAACATAAGAAATATTGAGAAAATTCGTGTTAGAATTATTAATCTTACTTTTTCGGTCACATTTAATAATATATATATATATATATATATATATATATATATATATATATATATATATATATATATATATATATATATATATATATATATATATATATATATATATATATATATATGTCGTACCTAGTAGCCAGAACGCACTTCTCAGCCTACTATGCAAGGCCCGATTTGCCTAATAAGCCAAGTTTTCATGAATTAACTGTCTTTCGTCTACCTAACCTACCTAACCAAACCTAACCTAACTTTTTCGGCTACCTAACCTAACCTAACCTATAAAGATAGGTTAGGTTAGGTTAGGTAGGGTTGGTTAGGTTCGGTCATATATCTACGTTAATTTTAACTCCAATAAAAAAAAATTGACCTCATACATAATGAAAAGGGAAGCTTTATCATTTCATAAGAAAAAAATTTGAGAAAATATATTAATTCAGGAAAACTTGGCTTATTAGGCAAATCGGGCCTTGCATAGTAGGCCGAGAAGTGCGTTCTGGCTACTAGGTACGACATATATATATATATATATATATATATATATATATATATATATATATATGTCGTACCTAGTAGCCAGAACGCACTTCTCAGCCTACTATGCAAGGCCCGATTTGCCTAATAAGCCAAGTTTTCATGAATTAATTGTTTTTCGACAACCTAACCTACCTAACCTAACCTAACCTAACTTTTTCGGCTACCTAACCGAACCTAACCTATAAAGATAGGTTAGGTTAGGTTAGGTAGGGTTGGTTAGGTT